GCTGCTCCTCGGAGCGAGGTGTTGCTCCTTGGCTCCTCACAGGTGGTCTGCCTCACCTCCTATACAGTGGTCTAAAGATCGCCCTAAGCCACGTTGTTAGCATGTGACGACCGGTGCTGAACAAGCAAGCGTTACATCAATACATAGCTCTTGCGGAAGGGGTAGACAACACAACATAGGAATGTCTGGTGCGGTATGAAGAGAGGAATGAACAGGGGAAGCAATGGCCAGGTGCATATGTATGTGTGAAGATACGCATGTGACAAACATGTAAGATTATATAAATATGCAGAATATAGTAATTAGATATAGATATAGCTGGGTTACACATACAGATAGATACAGATATAGACAGAAAGATATTATATATATATATATATATATATATAATATATATGTGTGTGTGTGTGTGTGTGTGTGTGTGTGTGTGTGTGGTGTGTGTGTGTGTGTGTGTGTGTGTGGTGTGTGTGTGTATGTGTGTGTGTATGTGTGTGTGTGTGTGTGTGTGTGTGTGTGTGTTGTGTGTGTATGTGTGTGTGTGTGTGGTGTGTGTGTGTGTGTGTGTGTGTGTGTGTGTGGTGTGTTGTGTGTTGTGTGTGGTGTGTGTGTGTGTGTGTGTGTGTGTGTGTGTGTGTGTGTGTGTGTATGTGATGTGTATGTGTGTGTGTGTGTGTGTGTGTGTGAGCGTGTGTGTGCGTGTTGTGTGTGTGTGTGTGTGTGTGTGCATTTCTATCCGTACGTCTTATCTAAATTTAACGATGAAGGGCCACATATATCTCTGACCACTCTTCCTTCGGTCGAGGTGTGCAAATCACCAAAAGAGTAAAAAAAAAAAAAAAAAAAAAGCCCGTGATTCAGTCTAGTCTCAAGGCCTACAGGGGACCAGTTATGGATACCTGCGAAGTCTCATCTTTGGGGCAAGAAATACACACACGTTTATTCGGTCTGTTTCTTATTCAGGCTGGTGATTTTTTTTTCTTTTTTTTTTCTTTTAGTTTTTTTTTCTTCTTTCTTTTTCTGTCTTTCTTTCTTTATGTTTTTTCCTCTCTCACGTCTGTCTGTCCCTCTCCTCTTTTTCTCGTCCTCTCTCTCTCTCTCTCTATTCTATCTATCTATCTATCTCTATCTCTCGAAGAGGATAGGGAGGAAAAAGGGAGTTAAGAGGAGGAGGGGATAGAGTAAGAGGAGGGGGAGGGGGGGGGGGAGTAGAGAGCTGGTGGCGGAGGACGGGGAGAAGGAGTGGAGGAGGAGGAGGGGAAGGGGAGTGGAGAAGAGGAGGGAAAGGGGAGGGGTGGGAGAGTGATATTATAATATGACTTAATGGTATATGTTCTCTAAATTAAAAGATATATAACACGAGATAGAAAGAACAGAGAGAAAGGGGGGGGAGAAGAAAGAGAGAGGACGAGTAGAGGAAAAAGAAAGAAGAGCTAAAGAGCAGAGAGAGAGAAGGGGATAGAGGGCGAGAGAGACAGAGAGGAGGGAGGCACAGAGGAAAAGAGAGGAAGGAGGGGAGGAGGGAAGAGAGTGGGGGGAGAGCGAGGGATAAGAGAGAAACGGAAAGTGAAGAAAAGAAGGGAGAGAGCAAGTAAAAAAGGAACTACGCAATCGAGAAAAGCAAAAAGAGGGAAAGAAAGAAAGAACAAGTGAAGAGCGCTCCAAGGCAAAAGGAGAGCGGAGGGCACAAAAGAGAAGAAGAAAGAGAAAAGCAGATAAATTGCAGATGAAGAGCAGAGAAATAGGAGCAATAAAGCCGATATGAGAGACACAGGAGAACAAGAGACGGGTAAGAGTTAAAGAAGAAATAAAAAGGTACAAGAAAAAAAAAAAAAGGCAAAGTGTAGTGTATGCGCGATAAAGCAGGGAAAAGAGAAAAAACTAGTATAGATAAGAAGAGCAGAATAATAGGAAGTGATAACAACAGAAGGTAAGTAAAAGACGTGACATTAGATAAAATAAGGAGGATAGTAAAAGGGATAGAAGAGGGATATAGAAAGAAAATACGAACAGGTAAGGATAAGGAAAAGTGAACGGGAAAAAGAAAGGGCGGAGAAATGAAATAAGAAGAATACAAGACAGATAAAAAAACAGGCAGGAAAAATGAAAATAATAGGGAAGAATGTATGGAAGGGAAAAAAAGCTGAAGAAGAGTAAGAGAAGGAGTAAAAGGAGAGGAAGAAGAAGGAAAAAGAAAGAAAAGGAAAGAGTAAGTACGATGGATAGAAGGAAGCAGAAAAGAAAAAGGAAAGAGGTAGATTTCTGATTAATTTTGAAAGAAAGAGAGAAGGAACATAAAACCAGGTAGCTACTCTTCCATTTAGCTTATTGAACCCGAAAAAGAAATGGACTTTTTCTCAAGAGTATTTTGGCAGCTGTTAATGGTAAGGAACTCTTCGTTGTCATAACAGTATAACAGCATTGAGTCAAATATATTAGTTTTTCCCTTTCATTTTCATCACACGTGTTATTAGTTTCTTTCTTTCTCTCGCTCTCTCTCTCTCTATCTATCTATCTCATTCTCTCTCTCTCTCTCTCTCTCCCCACACACACACAAAAACGCTCTTCTCTCTCTCTCTCTCTCTCTCTCTCTCTCTCTCTCTCTCTCTCTCTCTCTCTCTCTCGCATCTCTCTCTCTCTCTCTCTCTCTCTCTCTCTCTCTCTCTCTCTCTCTCTCACACACACACACACACACACTCTCTCTCTCTCTCTCTCTCTCTCTCTCTCTCTCTCTCTCTCTCTCTCTCTCTCTCTCTCTCTCTCTCTCTCTCTCTCTCTCTTCTCTCTCTCTCTCTCTCTCTCTCTCTCTCTCTCTCCTCTCTCTCCTCTCTGTCTCTCTCTCCCTCAATCATGTGTGATAAACTGACTTTCTTTCCTACGCCCACTTCCTTTTTCATTGTTTTTCTCTTTATTTGATTTAAATCCCTGCTTTTCATCATGTCCGTGTACTGTGCATGAGAGTGCATGACTGTCTGGGCGCTTGCTGCATGCATGACTATCTGAAATGACAAATAAAAAAATGAATAGCCATTAGCATATAAATACATTTATGTAAAATTAATGTCATTATGACAGATTAATGTATCAAGCAATTATCTACAAAACCGACACGCACGAAAAATGATTATATAAATTGATTAATTAATTGATATGCAAATAGACAAATACGTGAATAAATGGATACGTAGCTGAATAAATAGATAAATAGATACATGAATGAGTAAACAAACATATGAACCAATAAACAAATAGATAAACAAACAAATGAGAAAATAAATAAATAGATATACAAACAAATGAATAAAATAAACAAAGAATAAATAAACAAACAAAGAATAAACAAACAAATGAATAAATAGATCAACAAATAGATAAACAAGTAAATGAATAAATAAATAAATAAACAAATAGGTAAACAAATAAATGAATAAATAAATAAACAAATAGTTACACAAATAATAAGTAAATAAATAAATAAATAGATAAACAAGTAACTGAATAAATAAATCAATAAACAAATAGATAAATAAACAGATAAATTAATTAATAAATAAACAAATAGATAAAAAAATATGAAAAGATAATTAGATAAACAAATGAATAAATAAATAAACAAATAGATAAACAAGTAAATGAATAAATATACAAATAAATAAACAAGTAAATTAATGAACAGATAAACAAGTAAATAAATAAAAAGATAAATAGATAAACAAGTAAACAAATAAATAAATAAACAAATAGATAAACAAACAAATGAATATATACACAAACAAACAAATAAACAAACCAACAAAGACTACAATAAAATAAAAAAAACAAAAAACAAAACAAAAACACACATACAGCGCCATTTCGTAAGCTGATCCTCTCGATCTGTAGATAATAACTCAGTATTATCATAAAGTTTGAAAAGCTCCGGTCTATGTTTTTATCACTAACTTCGAGTCCGGATAAAGTTTGTTTGTTTGTTTTTGTTTCTCAACTTTCCCCGAGTCAAAGGTTGATGGGCTACGACTTCGGTTTTTTTTTTTTTTTTTCTTTCTTTGTTTTGTTTTGTTTTCTTTGTTTTTCTTTTTTTTTTTTTTTTTTTTTTGAAATGTTGGATCGTCTTTCTTGTAGTTTTTTGTAATTTTGTTGTTGTGTTGTTTGTCTTGCGTGTGTTTGTTTGTTTGTCTTGCTGTGTTTTTGTTCGCTTGTTTTAGACTACCTATATGACGGTTTCTTCGTCTTCATTATCTCTTCACCTCCTTCTCTTTCTCCTTTTTTTCTCCTTCAACTTATTCTTCTTTTCCCCTTACTCTTCCTCTTCCCATTTTTTCTCTCTCTCATCCTCCTCCTCCTCCTTCTTCTTCTACGTCATTTTCTTCTTCCTCTTCTTCTTCTCTTCCTTCTCTTCCTCTCCCCCTTCCATTTCCTCTTCTTATTCTTTTCTTCATCTTCCTCTCCCTCCTCCTTTTTCTTCTTCTTCTTCTTCTCCTCTTCCACCTTTTCTTATTTGTCTTCCCTTCTCTTCTTCACTGCCTGTCCGCCTATCTGTTTCTGTGCCTACTTTTCTCTCTTTCTGTCTCTCTTTTCTCTCTTATTTATCATATTCCCTGTCGTTTTCTTTTCGTGGGTTTCTGTATCAAATATCTAACGCACGATATTTTACCTTATTTATCATTCGTGCAACGGACTGGCTAAGTAACTTCCTAACAAACATATACCAAACTTTATTTTCCCCCTAAATTATTATGAATAACAATTGCATTTACTAGTTCATTCTACCCAACTAACTTCATTCATTTTTCTAATCAACTATTCCGCACTAATGCTGCGTTCGGAACTGCTCGTCCTGCTCGTCCAGACCAGTTGGACGAGGTGTTTTGACCGTTCGGAACCTCTACTATCTCGTCCCGGACAAGTAGTCTAGCTCGTCCTCCTGCGAATCTGGGCGAGCAGGACGAGATGACGTCACAATAGCTTTGTATGTAAACATTGACAGTTGCAGGTAACCACAAGATATTGATGGGTAATTTTATGGCCCTTTCTTGGTGTTATCAAAGGATGTTTTTGTGTTTGTCAGTTGCAGGTAAGTTAAATATGCATCAAAGGAGTTACAAAACCTATGCAGCGTGTATGATAAAGACAACGGTATGATGAAAAAAAAAAAAAAAGTGAATGTTTACATTCGAGCCGGTTGCATTCTGGGCAGAAAGGGTCTTGGAGGTTCCGAACGCGGCCCACTTGTCCTGCTGGTCCTGACAAGTTGTCTGAACGAGCAAGACGAGGACTTCCGAACGCAGCATAATTCGAGGATATGTTTACCCTCGATCAAAAAGTTGTTGATTAAAACTACTAGCAGATTCAACGGTTAACTATCCTTTGAATCGTTAACTCTGTCCTTTTAACAAACAACGAGTATTTATGGTAGAGTGACTGACTGATGTTGATTATTACTACAAGCAGATTCAACGGCAACCCAGCTTTTGAATCGTTAACTCTATCTGTACAACGAAAAATAAGTATTTATTGTAGAGTGACTGACAAAAAAGTGTAAAAATAAACTGAAGCTTCGAATCTGTCTTACCCTATACAACAAGTGTGGTCTGAAGCATCTGTTCGAAACGGAATTCGAAATATGTTTGACAAGGCAGAGGGGGAAGTATTGTGGCTGTACTTGTGTTGACCGCAATGGGTCCCGACGTGTATGTGCTGCCATTATATTCTTTTGTGACGCGAGAATTCGGGTGGGTTTTTTTTTTTTTTTGTTTTTGTTTTTTTTGTGTGTGTGTGTGTATTGTTGTTTCTAAGGGAGGGGAGGAAGGGAGGGAGAAGCTGAGAACGAGCAGGGAGTAGAACTGACAAATCTAGTTATACATACAGACACACACACAACACACACACACACACACACACCGCACAAACGAGAAGAGAGAGAGAGAGAGAAAGAGGACGTTTCGTGTCATAATAAATAACTTAAACTACTAGTTTAGTGTAGTTCGTTGGTACGTTGGTGTCTGGTACAGGTATTTTGATTAGTTTATGTCCATTTGAGAATTTGCGCGAATATTGAAGATCCAGTGCATGATTCGGGCCACGCAATCACATTTTAGAACGCTGTAGAAGTTTCGACTGATTTGCAGGTAATGAATATACCCTAATTAAAAATACAAGAGATGGAGTTCCCTCTTTTTAAGACTGATTTGATCAGGTACCCGCCAGATTTTTTTTTTTAAAATATCCCAAAGTTTGCGTTGAAATATATGTTTTCCTTCATTTTCTCATTGCCTCGCAAAACTAACGCATTAAGATTATAAGCCAACAAGGGCGTTTCAGATACTTGCATTGCCCTTGTTTGGAGAGTATGTACCCAATATTTAATGGCAAAATGCAATGTAAGGTTAATCCTCGAAACGACACACAAACAAACGCACAACGCAAATGCACGCACGCACGCACACACACAAGTACACACACCACACACACACACAACACACACAGCACACACGCACGCACACACGCACACACACACACACACACAATATATATATACAGTATGTATGTATGTATATATAACACACACATATATATATATATATATATATATATATATATATATGTATACACACCACACACACACACACACACATATATGTATGTATGTATGTGTATACACACACACACACACACACACACACATACACACACACACACACACACACACACACACACACACATATATATATATATATATATATATATTATAAATATATATATATATATATATATATATATAATATATATAAAAGAGAGAGGGAGAGGCGCTTTTTGTGCGTCATATATATATATATATATATATATATATATATATATATATATATATATATATATATAATATACACTTATATATGTGTGTGTGTCTTTTAACACGCAAAGTTAAAGATGAAGCTAAAATTACTTATTTTATATAGTAACGTCTCCCTGTCTACTTTAATCACGACCAATCATAAGATAGTTTGCCTTGAAACCCATCCAATTACGTGAAAGTATGTACATTCAATCCTATTACCCACGTTTTAAAAAGTATATTTGAATAGTTTACTTTCTTTCACATTTTTCTCATCCGACACTTATCAAACAAGGGTGATGAGATCGCTTTTTTTTACGCCCGTCTTATCTTTCTCTTTACTCGCTCTGTAATGAATTTCCTTTTGTGTAATCATTGTTATCGATCTCTATTAGTATTCCCATCATTAATTACGCCGGATTTCTGCAGTCGGAATCTCTAATTATAATCTTTAATTCATATCTAAACAGAACGCCTCTACGGTTCCGGCAAAGGCTATTAATCTTGAGCCCATCTCTAGGGGAAATGTGCTGGATGGGAATTTCGCTATTCTGATGTAGACTTTTGAAGACTTGGCCGTTCTAATTATCCAGCACGCTACGGGAACAAGAAATATCAATCTTAATATCGGATGAAGATCATATCGAGTCATTAATTTCAAGAAATAAAAAAGAATCTAGATGAAAAAAGATTTTGACGTTGCCTTGAAGATCTGAAACACGTGGTTCGCG